GTGGTTCATATCCACCAGCCACTCCTCGGAAGGAAGGTTGGGCAATTGACTTCCGTAGTGATACTGCCTTGGAAACACAAGGAGGGGTTGCTATGAGTCAGGTCTGACTCGACAGCACATAACAACAACAACAGGTCTGTACCCAAGAGAAATGAAAACTGGTAGCCACATAAAAACTTGCACACAGTGTTCTTAGTAGCATTATTTATAATACTTAGAAAGTGGATGGATAAACAGAATGTGGCTCATCAATGCGATGGAAATTTATTTGGCCGTAAAATGGAATGAAGTTCTAATACATGCCATCACATGGATGAACCTTGAACATACTATGTTGAGTGAGAGAAAGCAGACAAAACGATGCTGTGTTGTTTGATTCTAGTTACATAAAATGCCCAGAAAAGGCAAAACTTGAGACAAAATGTATATTCCTGCTTGCTTAGCTGTTGGTAGGGGATGGGGGTGATGGAAGGTGATAGCTAAGGGGTACAGATGTTTTGGTATGAAAATGTTGTAAAATTGATTGTGGTGATTGTTGTGCAATTTTGAATATGCTAAAAACTATTGAATTGTTTAGCTCAAAAATACCAAACTTGTTAATCTTTTCCTTTGCATCTTATGGCACTATGTGAAAATTACAACTGCACCTTAATTGCTTTCACTGATGAAAATTGGTCTACAATGCTCAAAGTCATCCCCCCCTCCCCCACCCCAGTTTCCTCTCTTCCTACACTCAGCTGAGCAGGATCACAGAATCTGCCTTTTCCCATGGAGGCTCTCAAAAATGGTAATATTAGTGTTAACTTGCTGAACGGTCTCTCCCAGCTGGTGAAGGAACTCCTCAAGTGCTGCCCTTCACGTGGTGCCCAGGGCGTGTGCCACGCCTGCTGGATCTCAGACAGTGCCTCGGGGGACAGTCCTGCATCTACTACTGCAATACAGGGAAAGTTTGAGCCAGTCCTCATGTCCCTCCAGCTCTCCCTGTCTTCTTGGCCCTCACTCTGAGGCTCCAACCAGGAACCTAAAAGCTGTGGGGGAGGACAAGGGTAACGTCTCAGATGGGTCCCCACTGCCTCCTGAACTATCTCCCCAGTGAGTGTGACCTTCCCCCCAGCCCTTCTCCTGGCTCCCCACAGCCCACCCAAGGTCTTTCCCTCTCCCAGATGCCAACCCACTCTCTATGGCACCAGTGCCTGTGCACTGAATCTACCTCATCTGGGGTTTTCTGTAGAGGAGGGAAAGGGGTAACTTCCCAATGTGAAGTCCCTGCCCTTTAATGACATTGGGAGCTATTTCCCTCCAGGAAGGAAGTCTGCTGTGCCCTTCATGTTCCTGTTGGAGGAGCACAGGGTCTGCACAGAGAGAGACTTAACCCTGTTGGGCTAAGTCAACATGGTGCTGAACCCGTCCCCTGGGTGACCCACTCCTTGTGAACCTGAACTTCGTAAGAAAGAGACTGTGTGCAGCCCCCTCACAGCCCTCAGACAGTTCTGTGTGTGTGGCAGGTGCTCAGCACAACTATGAGCGACCAGTCAGAAGGGATCTGGAGGCTCGTCTGTGTAAATCGTCGTTACTTGTTGTGGACCATGAAACAGTGTGGAAGGGACCCTTGTCCATGGATGAATTTTACGAGTCAACATCATCTCTTCAAAAAATGGTGTGCTCATTTCAGAAAAGGTGAAAGCTGTAGGTTATGTCTCATCTAAAAATAAGCTGATTTCCTCAAATTCTTAAGTTGCTAGAATTCTATTGCAATGCTGACTGTCACCTGGGCTATTTAGTCATTGGTCATCTTTTGAAATATGTGTTTATTGATAGAATCAAGAGACATAGACACAATGTTGATTGTGCCTTTGATATGATGTGTTGAACAGGGCACTCTGTGGTCTTCCTCCCAAAACCCACTGCCCTAATCTCCTAATCAGGAGAAAGACTTCAGACAGATCCCTAAAGAGTCTCATTGTGCAAAACACCTGGGCAGTTCTCAAAACTGTCAAGGTCATCAATTAAGGAAAGTCTGGGAAACTGTCACAGCCAAGGGGAGCCTGAGGAGACGAGGCAACTAACTGGGTCCTGGGTGGGGCCCTGGCTGGGCAGAAAAAGGACGCCAGGGACATCTGAATAAACTGTGAAGTTCAGTTAAAATTCTTGTATCAATTTTGGTTCCTTAGTTGTGACAAATGTCCCACCTTTCTGTAAGATATCAACAACAGGGGGACATGATGGGAGATATATGGGGCACAGCTGCTCTGTCAATTTAAAAACAAAACAAAAAACAAACCAAATACACTGCAGTCAAGTGAATTCCAATTCATAACAACCCTGTAGGGCAGAGTAGAACTGCCCTGTTATGTTTTCCAATGATGTAAATCTTTAAGGAAGCATACTCCCTCATCTTTCTCCCACAGATTGGCTGGTGTGTTTGAACGACCAACCTTTTGGTTAGCAGCCCAATGCTTTAACCACTGTACCACCAGAGCTTCTCTGTCTATCTATCTAAAGCTGCTCTGAAACAAAATCAGTTTAAACAGAAATCTATCCTTCCCTCAGGGGTTTATTGTTCGAATGCTCTCATCTGAGTCGTTGTGGTAAGGACTTTCCGTTCAGGGATCTGTCCACCCATCTGCCAGGCATGGGCCATGGGCCATGCAGGTCCCCCGTCCCCACATTCTGGGCCTGGGAGCCATGTCCCCAGCCACCTGTGGCTCCCTGGACCATTGAGCTGAGTCAGCCCTGGACTTTACCCCAAGGGGCCATCTACCACCAGGTAGGATAATTGCTCTCGAGGGCCAATTCTGACAGCTCCTGGAATGAAGCTCTGCCTGAGGGGGTGGCCGCCAGTTAAAGGTCAACAGGAAACAAAGGAGCCACCGAGTAGTAAGACACGGGGCTTTGGACACAGGTCCCATCTCACCTTCCCCCCCCGCTAAGATGTTATGGAGCTTCCATGAGCGTGGCATCACGTTCACACAGAAAGCCATCGGGATGCTCTGTTGTATGGATAGTGGACACTGCTGTAGTGGATAGCGGTCTGCCTACCGCTGCCCTAATTTTGCTTTTGATGCTTCTGGAAAGACAGATTTCTTTTTGCCTCGACCTACTTTACTTTGGAAAAAAAAAAAATGCCCTTCTTTTGCTGTTTCAGATTGAAACGGTAAAGTGCCAGACCTGGCAGCCATCTGTGTGGCATCCTGACTGCACGGTTCGTCTATTGGTAAGAGCGGAAGCTTTCAGGGCGCTGATCTCCGAAGTAGGTCTTGGTCTGTTAAAGGAGGTGGAAGGCGGCTGACTCAGCAGGGACCCACTGCCACATGTTCTGGAATATGATGCAGCATGGGGAGGGGAGGGAGGAGGGGCGCCGAGCAGTAGGGCCTGCGGTTGGACAGGCAGGTGAGAGGTCCTCAGTGTTTGGGGCCTGAGGCTAGAGGAAGGGGGGAGTCATTGCCGCTGTATGTGGAGGGTCTCAGTGGATTCTGTAGGGTGGTTGCCTGTGTCCCCTGGGGATGCCTGGCAGGGACATTCAGAGGCAGAGCCCAGTGGTAAGCTCTGGCCTGCAGCTTGGGCTCTTGTTCTGCAGACCGAGTGCAGCAGCTCACTGAGGGCTGTGCTCTCCTTGTTCTTCCACCGGCACGGGGAAGGGCAAGGGCATTCATGAGCCAGTAGTCTGTGTGGTTAGAAAATCCAGAAATTTCCTGTCCTTAAACTCCACGCAATAGGTCCCTAAGGCTAACTCCATGTCCTTGAGTATGTGCAGTCTACTGTCCTCATTACCTTGTGGAGGAGGCAAGGCTTCATATAAAACCCACACACATGTGGGCACTGTGCCCTGGGGCAGTCCTCAGCCCACTCCGTCTATATCCAGGGCAAGACCTTGGACTCTCCTAACCCTGGGATTTGCCATGGTCCAAGGGAAGGGACACTAGGTGCCAGTGTACCTGGCTGCTCCCTGAGTAGGGCACTGCCCAGAGACCTGGGTAAGAGGTCCTGGGTCCCTGTGTCTGCATGAAGGTCATAGAGCTGTGCTGAGGCTCAGCATGTACCCATCCCTGCTGACCTCAGCCCTGCACAGCCTGGTGCTCATTGAAGGAGCTGGCTTCCCACCAGCCCAGGAGAAATGGGATGGGGTTGGAAGTGGAGTCAGGATTCCTGTCAGTGGGCTCAGCTCCCCTGATACAAGCTGGGGCTGGGGGCACCCCCATTCTTCCCCCCAGGGCGTGTTGGCCATTTTTGATGAGTAGCCTGCAGTGGTGACGCTGGCAGGAAAGTCATGCATGAGGCAAAACACCTGCACAGGTGAGTCTGCAGCCCACTCCGTGGCCCATCTGTGCCTGAGACTGCAACTGCTCAGAAGAGTGCTTGATGTCCCAGCTGAATTCCAGGCTCTTCCTCCTGGGACACAGACTCCTGCAGCCTGGCTTGGTGCCTGGCCTGGCCAGTGGTGAGTCCTGGGCATTGAGTCAGGACAAGACCAGTGGGTCTCAAGATGATGAAGGAAATGTTCTAAATTATAGAACTCTCTGCACAATATGCTGTGTGCTGCTGGCCTGGCACAAATGGGCAGCTGTGGGGAAGGGGTGTCCTCAAGACCCTAGGAGGGTCTAGGGTGAAAATGATTCCTTCACTGCCCCAGGATAGAGAGGTCTGCTGTGTAGTGTAGCATTTGGCTGCTAACCAAAGATCAGCGGTTTGAACCCACCAACTACTCCAAGAGGAGAAAGGTGGGGCAGTCTATTTCCATAAGGATTTACAGCCTTGGAAACCCTATGGGGCAGTTCTACTCTGTCCTAAAAGGTCACTATGAGTAGGAAGTCACTTGATGGCAGTTTGGTTTGGGTTTGGCCCCATGACACAGGAACAGGTTAGTAGCTTAGTTGTGTGCTTTGGGCAAAGTTGCCAACAAGCCCTGGTGGGGTTTGAGCAGGGCCAAGGCTGAGGACAAAGATCTTATCATCCATGATCTTGTGCCCCTCTCTGTGCAGGGATCTGAGAGACTCACACACATGGCAGCAGGCAACCACACAGCTGTGGTGGAGTTCATCCTGCAGGGCTTCTCTGAAGACCCCCAGGTCCAGGTCTTGCTCTCAGCCTTGTTCCTCCTCCTCTACCTGATGGCCCTTGCAGGAAATGGCCTCATCTTCACAGCCATCAGCTTGAGCCCAGGCCTGCACACTCCCATGTACTTCTTCCTCGCCAACCTGGCCACTTTGGACATTGTCTGCACGTCCACTGTTCTCCCCAAGTTGCTGGAAAGTCTGGTGGTCAAGGTGGCTACCATCTCATATGGGGGCTGCTTGACCCAACTCTTCTTCCTCACCTGGTCCCTGGGGGCTGAACTGCTTCTGCTCACAGCCATGGCCGTTGACCGCTATGTGGCCATCTGCCAGCCACTGCGCTACAGTGCCCTCATGAGCTGGCCTCTCTGTACTCTGCTGGCCACGGCCGTGTGGACAGTCAGTGTATTCAACACATCCATGCACACGGGCCTCATGGCACGGCTGAACTTCTGTGGCCCCAACCACATCGGGCACTTCCTGTGTGAGATGCCCTCATTGTTCCTGCTGTCCTGCAGCCCCACTGCCCTCAACAGCATCATGATGGTCGTGGCTGATGTCTACTTTGGTGTGGTCAACTTCGTGCTCACCCTGGCCTCCTACGGCTGCATCGTGGCCAGTGTCCTGCGCATCCGCTCGGCCGCAGGCAAGCGCCGCGCCTTCTCCACCTGCTCCTCCCACCTCCTGGTGGTCACCTTGTACTACTCCACCGTCATCTACACATACATCCTCCCAGGTTCGGGTGCCTCTACGGAAAAGGGCAAGGTGGTCGCTGTTTTGTATACAGTGGTCAGCCCTGCCCTGAACCCTCTCATCTACACACTGCGGAATAAAGACGTGAAAGCAGCCCTCCGGAAGGTGACCCCCTTCTCCCGGTAAGGAAAGAGAGTGGCTAGGTGAATGCTCCCTGTGTTAGCTCCAAAATAAAACTTTGAGAGTCAGATGCAAGAAGTAAAGACTAAGAAGAAAATAAATGGGACAAAGTTATAAGCAAGGAGCTTCCTCCATGGGGCTGCCCAGCTTTCTACCTGGAACCTTAACAAATCCTGACCCTGAGGGATGGGCAACGGCTGCCTGGAGTGGAGCAGGAGGGACTGGCACTTAGCAGCAATGTTTGAAGTGCGTGGCACTGCTGTCACTTCTTTCAGGTTTGGGAATGTGGCCCTCTGAGCACATCCCTTGGTGTGTTCCAACATGGGAGTCTGTCAATATCCTGCTGTTCAGACCCTTCTCAGACCCAACTCCCTTTTTGTGTAGTGGGAAAATCCAGGGGTAGTGGCTGCTCACCACATACACGAGTCTCCTGGCTCTGGCAGGGCAGAGAGAATGAGACGTGTTTAAATTGGCTTCTGCTCAGACAACCTGGAGAAAGAGGTGTATTTCTGTTTTCTTCCTGTTCATGAAACGTGTCATCATTCTTCACGAGGAAGCTGTTGCAGAGCAGGAAAAAAATTCTCTCATCTTTAGTTTTACAAAATTTCTTCAACAGAATTTTTGTGGGTTCAGTTATTTCTCAGTCTTTTTTCCACTCTTAATCATTTCTCTTATTCTCTGCTGGTAGCTTCTGAATGTCGGTGTTCTTCATTGCCTCGGGCCAACTCTGTGTTCTACTCTTGGTAGCTTCATTTGTGCTCCCGCTGCATTTATCATTAATATTTGTCAGTCCACATTTATAGCTGTAATACACAGTTCACCTCTGATCCCCAGGTCCATAGATATAACTAGCATAGCTGCTTGGAAATCTTCCAGAGACCTCATTCAGCCAATCTAAGTGCATGACCTTCACTTCTCTTCAACCTCATCCAGTCACAATTATTGAAACATTCTTGATACTCTTTCCTAGCTTTATATAGAAACCACCTGAAATTGTTATTATTAAACTTGAAGACATTTACGTCCAATGCTTCTCCTATCTCTAACACCTACCTAAGATTCCATAGTGTTCCTATTGGGTGGTGTGACACCTACCTGCTCTTCTTACCTCTATTCTTGACTGCCCAAGATTAGTTCTCTACCCTGTGTCCAGAGTTATAATTTTCACATTTTATTATGCAAAACTTTAATCATACACAAAGTTGAAAAAATGTATGGTAAACTCCCATATATCCATTGTGTACATTCTTCCATTAATTTGGTATTAATTTTGTTTTATTACTCATGTGTCCAACCACCTATCATCTTATTACTTACACATTTCCAAGCAAGTTGCAAAGATCAGTACACTTCATAAATACTTTGGAATATGTATCATTAACCAGAGTTCCACATTTGTTAACAGTTATATTTTTCCAACAAGAAAATGCATAAATAAACGTGTGCATTTGCTGGGTTTTGTCAAATTCAAACAGCTGTAGTCTAAACCTCTATGAAGATACAGAACAGGACCCTCATCCCATAAGATTTCACCTGTCGTTTTTCAGTCAACCTCATCCCTCCTTGCTATACCTGAGCCCATTGTTCTGATTTTTTCCACAGATCAGTTTTACATACTCTAGAACTTCATGAAAATTTTGTCATAGATGTGTGTATTCTTTTGTGTCTAGTTTCTCTTCTTTCACATTGCATAATATTTTTGAGATTCATGCATGGTGTTGCATGTATCAGAATTTAGTCCATTTTTTATTTTTGATTGATATTCCATTGTATGCTTATATTAAACCAAAACACCAAATCCACTACCATTGAGTTCATTCTGACTCATAGCAACCCTATGATTATAGTGTTGTTTATCTGTTTCTCTATTGGTGGAGACATTTGTATTATTTCTAGCTTTTGACTTTTGTAAATAAAGCTGCTTTAAACATTTGTGTTCACCACTCACCCGTCAGTTTGTAGCACTGTGGTGGTTTGCTTGTTCCTGTGGTGCTTGAAGCTATGCGACAGCTATTTCATACACTAGCAGGTGTGGATGCATTGATAATTACTAGAGATTGGAATGTGGAAGTTGCAAACCAAGAAGAAGGGTCAGTAGATGGAAAATATGGCCTTGGTGGTAGAAATGATGTGGGAGAGCCAATGACACAATCTTGAAGCACCAATGATTTATTCATTGCAAATATCATTTTTCAAAAACATAAATGGTGACTATATACAAGTGTACCTTGTCAGATGAAATACACAGGAATCAAATCAACTTCATCTGTGGAAAGAGACTATGGAATCAATTGCTCATGTGGGTTCAAACTGAAGATATTAAAAAAAAAAAAAAAAAAAGCCCACAAGAGCCAAAGTATGACCATGAAAATATCCCACCTGAGGTTACAAGCACAAGCTATCTAAAGAATAGATTTGATGCATTTAATACTAATGACCAGATTTGCTGTGGGATGATATCAAAGACATCATACATGAAGAAAGCAAAAGGTTATTAAAGAGACAAGAAAGAAAGAAAGAAAGAAAGAAAGACCAACATCGACGTCAGAAGAGAAACTGAATCATGTTCTTGAATGTAGAGTAGCTAAAATGGTTGGTAACAATGGAATAAAATAGCTGAGCAGAAGATTTAAACATTGGGGTAAGAAGACAAAGTAAAGTCTCATGATGAAA